TAAAAGCGCAATTTTTTATCTCTAACTTTTATGCTCTGTCTTGAACTACTTTTTTCCAGATACCTCTAGCTTTGTTAAAGAACTTATCTAAGACATTTATTTATTGTCGTCCTTCTATCGCATTTATAATATTTGGCAGACTCGGTAATAAATTCCATAAACGCGATCACGCTGTTGTATCACATGTTTTCTGGATGAAATTCTCTAGTAAAATGTATTATCGTTTTTTTAATTTTTGTTTTAAAGAAAATTCATTATATTTTTATGTGTATGGAAAACAAGTTAAACCTTTATTGATCAATTTCAAAATACTTTTATTTGATGCATTGTTAATTCATAAAACCGTCGATCGTGATGATTATGTTTAGATTTCCAGGACATGCCTACCCTCTGAAAATAACCTAATAATTTTTAATTATTTTGAATATATTTTTTCTCTTATGTAGTAAGCCAAGAGAAAAAACACATCTTATGCTTATTTTCTTAATTATAACTGGAGCCCGGATNTTCTCTCTTATGTAGTAAGCCAAGAAAAAACACATCTTATGCTTATTTTCTTAATTATAACCATTTCCTAAATATCTTTGTGTTTTTTCAAAAGGAAAAAGGGATAGAGAGAGAGAGTTTGTCACAAAGGGTAGACTACATTAGTGATTTAGATGAACTGGTAGATTAATGTAATTAAGGTGGCCACAACGTAGAAAAATTTAAAAAGTGGTGACAAAATACGCAGAACTCTTTGACGCAGAATTTTTATTAAATATATTTTTCATACTTTTTTCATTATTTTGAATTAATTTAGTAAAATTTCGTATTAATTTAGTAATTAAGTAAAAATAAGTGAAAATATTATATTTAGCATTTTAATAATTTATAGTTATGAAATACAGGATGGAACACCGGTGTCTTTTTCGGCGTTAAAGATAAAATCCAGTAAACACGGCTCACTTACAAACAATAATTTTTTCAAATTTGAACTTATTTTGCAATTTTTGAGATCTAAGAGAAACAGTTATTCATCATTGTTGTTTCTTTAATTTACAAAATCAGTTTTTGATAAATTTTGAAAAAAATTTCAAACTACTTTTTTTGGATTTTATATTTTAGTGCATCCGACAATTTAACAGATTTCTTTAGTAACTGTTAGATTACATTTTGTAATTAAAAAATACCAAGAAGTACATTGTGATTGTAACTGAGGCTTCAGAAAAATTTGTTTTTTACCATTTTTTTGTTCAGTTGTGGATATCTGGTGTAATTTGTTTTTTAATCTATCCAGAGTATCAAAGTTGTTGTAAAAACAGACTAAATAACTGACTATGTAAAAATTAAGTTAAATCAATCTGTATTCGCTTTGACTTGATATTTATTGACCCATTTAAAAATAATTTCTTAGTTAAAAAATATTGTTAACTTTTAATTCTTATAATTAATACGCATTTGTATACTGTGTGCAATGGGATTTCATTTCAATATCCATTTTTTTAAGAACACGCTCAAAAAGATCAACAATTTTGTTATAATTATTTTAAAAATATTTTTCTGACAAATAAGAGACAGATTATTAACACATTTTATGTTGATTTTCCACGTGAAATTATGATAATTTTCTAATTAAAATAAAATAAAATGGAAAGCACTCACATTACAGCTAGTTATTAGCAAAAGGTTTCATAGAGTTAAGAGTCCAGAATTTCGGGGCCAACTGCTTAAGGGTGACAATGCATTGCGCACTGGCCACCTTTACTTTCCATGAAGCTGATACCCATAAATCTGAAGCTTTTAACCTTAGTAACAGAAGCTTCGTAAACCCTTACTTATTTTCTAAAAAGGTGAAATAATTCCCCCTGGACATGGAGTTAGTTTGTTTCAAGGGATGTAAGATAACACGTTGTAAAGTAACGAAACGCAAACATGTTGTTTACGTTTATAATCTTTCCCTTTCACAATCTATTAAAAATAAGCAATATTTTTAAAACATTTTTTTTTATTAGGAACTGAAACTGTCAAATATGAAGCAGGTTTTCATATTATGATTTAATGGTTAACATCCATGATATTCCCCCCCCCCATACTATTAAATTGCTTTTAAATAAAATTTAATTTCCTTATTAAAGTCAAACGTCGCTTTTTTTTGTATTTTTTTAAGTGCGTTGACTTTACGCTGACTTTTTATAGAGTTCAACACAGAAAACCGCAAACACAAAAATCGGTTGGCAGTTCAAAGCTGGTTATAAATTAAAATGAAATAGAATGAATGACATACTAGCCGGAATGTTTTAAGAGATGAAAAGCTCCCTTTTTATTACACGTTATAGGTTCGAGTCCCTGCTATGGTTGATAAATTAGTATCTTGCGGCCAATCACAGTTCTGACGAATAATATTCCAAGTGGTGGGCGGATCATGGAGACTCTATGCCGACACAATATAACCATATGTGAATTTCATGGTTATCCTTCTCGTGCAACGTGAATATGAATTTCACTCTTATCCACCACGGAGATGACTTTATTCCATGAGTTGCCATGTACTATAATGATATAGTACTAGATGGTGACCAATTACTGACTGTCAAATTAATCCTAGAATAATGAACTGGTTTACTTCTATTTTATTATTATTTTAATTATTAATTTTAAAACAGCTGCTGTGAATTTGGTCTTTACAAAATTTGAAATAAAACTAATTTTATAAGTACACTTGAGGTATTTTGCCTTCCAAATAAAGATGATTTATTATATATGAGTAAAACAAGAATGCTTTTTGTTCGAAGATAAGCATCCTATTTCTCTTTTAAAAAAATTAAAGGTTTATAAGCCGTATTTGCCACGAAGCACACAAGCCGGCATATATATGCGTAACAAAAACTGATTAAAATAATAAAAAAGATATGGCATGAATATTTTAAAATGTTACGAATTTAACTTAATATAAAATATTTTATGAGATGTTATACAGCCGAGCATGAGTTTATTTAAAACTTGCAGACTGCAGCATTAAATAATAAAATAAACTCCAATTAGAAAACCAATGTATTATATATTTTCTCGAACGAGACATTGATCAATGACTGTCACATGACTGTAAATAACATATAAGATACTTTTTTCCCATACAAAAATAAATTATAAAGGAGACATTTTGAAACTTTTCTGTGCTTCTTTTTTCATTTAAAAATATTTTTATAGCAAATAAGATAATTTTTCTAATTAATTTCAATGATTAACCCATATTTCTCTATTAATTTATTGATATTCTCTACTAAAAAATTGCCGAAATATTTCTTTGTTGTTGCTTAATTCTGGACTACTTAATAATAATAAAGGATAACTAAATTACGTGAATACAATTAATAATAAGTATAACATTAATGCTAAGTTACATCTCAAAGTAATAATTTTGGAAAACAACTCTATTTCTTTACTGGTTAAAAATATCTACAAATCCTTTATTCTTAAATGGCTTACAGTGATTCCCCTAATAGTGAGGTAAAAAAATTACCATTTTTTAAAATAAAAAAAAAAGCGAGAATTAAACTGATGCAAATTAATATTAAATGTTCTATTAAATATATTTATATCTCAATGCAATAAGTTTCATAGAAAAAACTCCTATTTTTCTACTAATTTATTTAGTTAAAATATCCCTTAAATAAGTGTCGTATTTTTTAAGCCATTTACAAGTATTTTCCTAAGTGAGAAAAACATTTTGCGATAGTTTAAAATTTGCGCACTTAATAATAATAAGAGGGAATTAAATTGATGCAAATTAACATTAAATATTTAATTAAAAATATTTATATATCTGTACAGTACATATTAGGAAAAATATCCACATTTCTCTATTAATTTATTTAATTAAAAAATACCTCAAATAATCTTCTATGTTTAAGTCGATTACAAGAATTTCCCTAATGGAGAAAAATCATTTTTTGATCATTTAAAGTTTGAGGAACTGAATAATAATAAAGGAGCATTAAATTGATGCAAATTAGTTAAAAACTATTTATATCTCAGAACAGTAAGCGTTATGAAAAAAAAGACACATTTCTCTATCAATTTATTTTATTAAAAAATCCAGCAAATATACTTTTTTTAAGACATTTACGAGTATCTATCTCTAAAATTATGAAAAAAATTGCGATCATATCAAATCTGGGGAGCTAAAAGAGAATTAAACTGATGCAAATTAATTACAAAATGTTTATATCACAGAACAATAAACATTATGGAAAAAAACGCACTTTTCTCTATTTATTTATTCAATTAAAAAATACCCCAGATAATCTTCTCTTTTTAAGTCGTTTACAAGTATTTCAATAATATTTAAAAAAAAAAAAAAATGCGATCATTTAAAATCTGGGGAACTAAGGGAGAATTAAACTGATGCAAATTAATTAAAAAATATTTATGTCTCAGAACTATAAAGATAATGAAAAAAAACAACACATTTCTCTACAAATTNGTATGTCAATAATATTTTTAAGAAAAAAATGCGATGATTTAAAATCTGGAGAATTAAACTGATGCAAATTAATTAAAAAATATTTATGTCTCAGAACTATAAAGATAATGAAAAAAAATCCACATTTCTATGCAAATTTATTTAATTAAAATGATCGTTCAAATAATCGTTTTTTTTTTTAAAAAGTCGTTTACAGGTAAATCTACAGTGTAAAACATTTTGCGATTGTTTAAATTCTAACCATTTAAAATCTCATTACTCAAATAACCATGACTAGGTAAAAGATTCAAACAATAAAACATATTCAACGGTGTTACACAAAGCATGAAATCAGAGAAGAATTCGATTTTCACCTTATTGAGAAAAAAGAAGAAGCCCTAATTACACTTATAAATCGCGCCCGATATGCGAAAACAATTGTGTGTTGTTCACGGCCAAGGGAAGATAGTTTTTATGAGGAATGTTTTTCATCGCGAAACAACATATCACTGCCAAAGAGATAACAACATCTTGTTGAGACATTGGTTGAAAAGTACTAGGCTATTTGCTACGTCATATTACTACTGGACGTGATGTCAGATTGTGTTTTCTTTCAGTGGTTTCCATTTAATTGGGAATGTAATTCAAGGTGGTGAACGTATATATTGTTTCTCCAGTTTCAGAGCGGAATGGATAAAAGCGCATCTTTTAGGGGATGAAATATTACTTGAAAACATAATTCTATACTGAAGAGAACAATTAAAAATGTTAGCCAAAGTGTGTTTAGTTGGCCCGAAAGGTGAGTTACGAAAAATTTTATTGCATTTATTTTATTTTTATATTATTTTGCATGTAAAAAATATTTTATTTTGTTATTTTTTTCGGATAAATAGACCGGTCTAATATTCGGAGAGATAATTTTTTAGCCACCGAATTTCGGATAGAATTTTTTATTTTTAAAAAAATTAAATTTAATAAAATAATTAGTTTTTAAATTTAAAATATTATTTTATTGATTTCTTTATGAGCTTTTCAGATCAAAAGATTTTTTTTCTTTCCAAAATAAATAAATAAAACCTAACGTTTTTCTATTAACTTTTCTTATTATTTCTTGATAAAAGTCAGCGTTGTTCTTTAGTTCTCTTATAGAAAATAATGAACTTAGTTGTATTTAAAACTAGGATTGCGATTCTTTTACGTGTTTCTAACATTAGTTTCATTTAGAGAATACAGCATAGTGTCACATTTTTAAACATAATTAATATTTTTGATGAACAAAGCTAATCAGGTATAGTAAATTTTATTAGATATATTAAAAAGATATTTTTTATTTTTTTAAATTATTATCTAATTGATTTTGAGATAAAATAGTTTTTCTTTTCCAAAGGATCTAAACTTTTTATAATCAGTTTTTGATTAATATCAGTATTAATTTATTTTAGAAAATCTTGAACTTTATGGCTTATGAAAATTATAATTTCTTAAAATTGTACAAGATCTTTTCTAAGGATTTCATTTCTAAGGATTTCATATCATATTATTCAAAAGTAATTTATATTTTTGAAGAATAATAAGTTTTTTTTTCTTATTAATTAGGATTTTTTGGCATCACAAATTTTTTTCTATTATATTATAGTGTTATTTTTTTCTTAAATTTTCTAAATCCTTCAGCTTCAATATAGTAAACTCACTAAGTAAACTCACAATATAGTAAGCTCACTAACTCTATTTTTTATCAGTTTTTATAAGTTATAAAAAATAATAACAATAATTAATATTTTAAAATTTAATCATTTACTTTAAAATTTAACCTTTTTACTTTAAATGCTTTGAACATTTACAAATTTACATGAATTGATTGATTTTCACCTGTATAATTATGTTTTTAAAATTTTCTTAATAAGTAAGTTATTAGCGAATTTATCGGGTATTGACGTTTAGATTCTGTTACTTTAAATTGTAATTATAGTTTTGTGGCTGTTAAGCTATTTATTGCTTACAAAAACACTGAAGTACATTAATTAAAAGCTTATATTTTGATGAAAAAATAAAAATAAACAATTCGCGGATTTTGGTTCAGTTGTAATTATTTCTCTAATTTTTTTTTAATGCAAAACATTATTTATTTTTTTAAATACAAAGCATTTTTTGTACCGATAGTAAAGAAAATAAGCTGAAATAGTACTATAATTACCAAATGGGGAAAATATTTGTTCGTTACTTCATTTTTTATTGTTTTTTTAAACCTTAAAATAATTATATCTTTTGAAACAGGCATTTTTACTAAACATTTAAAGAATCTAGAATATGCATGTAACTCTAAATTTCGAAAGGTATACTTTTCCTTAAATACCTCCAAAACATTTACAAACCAATTAATTTATCCCAGTGTCACAATCCAACTATTTTAAGAACAAAAGTTTTGTAAAGTGTTACTCTGATTTCTCATGGCATTTACGCTACGCGATTTGGAAAATAAAAGTGGGAATTTAAGTTGTCATTTTTGTTTTGTTTTTTTAAACCTTAAAATAATTATATCTTTTGAAACAGACAATTTTACTAAACATTTAAAGAATCTAGAATATGTATGCAACTCTAAATTTCAAAAGGTATACTTTTCCTTAAATACCTCCAAAACATTTACAAACCAATTAATTTATCACAGTGTCACAATCCAACTATTTTAAGAACAAAAGTTTTGTAAAGTGTTACTCTGATTTCTCATGGCATTTACGCTACGCGATTTGGAAAATAAAAGTGGGAATTTTCAATAAGTTGTCATTGATGTTTTTATTCGAGGCTTACATGCTAAAGAGTAATTTAATACCTACGCTTTATTTTAATGACGTTTGGAATAAATGGTGTATCAATTCATTTTTATAACCAAGGAATATAATTCCATGTTAGATATTTTATTTATAAAATGTTCATCAATATATAGTTGTAGAATAATATTAAATGATTTTTGAGAACTACTAGAATTAGAATCTGTTTTCTGAACTTTTTCGATCATCTGTATTAATGCATTACACATCTTTTTAGCTTTAATTTAAGAGGATGCAGAAAATATTTTGGATATTTTATTTGTGAGTTAAGTTATTACAGTAGAAACCTCAAAATCATTTAATTTGCCGAAAATTATCAACATAAATAAACTAATGTCCACAAATTAAGGAGTAGCTTGTTATCTGAGCCAAATTTGAATATAGTACATTTGAACACAGACATTGAACATCGAAAGAACACTGATAAAAAGTGTATCCAATCTACCAGAATACGGTAAAATTTACCTTGTTTTTGGCTCTATGGGAACATCAAGAAGCTCGATTTGGAAATGATTTTCTTAAAATCAACAATGTTTTTATAATATGTGATAAAATTTGGTAATTTTATCATGATACCTTAGAGCATGGCACAAGGACCATTTATTTGATTAAATTTACTTTTCAGTTTGTATTTGCTGCTAAATGCGCGGTAATGAGAGCTGTAATTTTGAAAACCAGAATTCCGGGTAAATCGTTACCATATGAACGGAAAAATTACCAAATGAATGATTTAAACAGCGTATATTTTGGTTTTATTTACCAAAGTTATATTTTTTTTTTATTTACCAGAAATGTAATTACCATACAGTAAGGTATTTTCACCATAATTTATTCTCCGTGTGGAAATTAGGTGAAAACCTACACTAAACAGTTCATTATTGAATGCGACACAGAAATTTGCATAAATTTAAACACTAATATGATTTTTAAAAAAAAAAATACTGACTTGGCAGAATTGTTCCTTTAAAAAGAAAACAGTACAAAACATTTTTATGCAGAAAATTGACATAGAAGTATTGCAAAAATGTGTTCTAGTAAGGAATGTGTCAATTTCAAATTTAGACATTGAGTACCTTTTGTTCCACGCATGCAGCAACCCTAAAGGATGACTCGAAAGGGAAACCTCTCTGATAAGGAAGTCTTAAATTCTCAATCGGATTCAGGTCTGGAGATCTGATTGGCCAATCGATGAGGTAAATATCTTCACATTCCTGAAAATTCTCGACATAATGATGTCCATGTAGCCGTTCCCTGTCGCTCTGAAACGAAGTCAGAACCAACTGAAATCCAAAAATAGCAAACATAGGGCTCCAAGAGCAGATTTTACTTCCATAATGGCCGATTTCTCGGACATCGGCGGCCAGATAGGTCACCCATTGGTTGATTATATAAATGGAGAGAGCCAGTAATCTTTTATCTACCCTTGGATATCCAAGAATTCGATCTTTAAGGAAGCGAAATAGCCAAAATGATAGCATGAACTCCCACGACTTTGAGAGATGCTCTATTAATGATATTTGCATAAATATGTACCTTGGAACTCTATGTTTGTCATTTCAGAGAATCTGTTGGTTAATCAATTTAAATTAATGACAACGTGCGGCAACATAGATCTTATTAGTTTGAGAATTATCCTGCATGGGAAGATATTCATCGGGTGGATTCACCAGTCAGATCTCCAGATTTGAATCCGATAGAGAATGATTTAAAATACCTTATTAGGTAAGTTGCTGCTTTTAGTCCTCTATCATGGTTGTTGTATGAGTAATACCGCGTCTGGTTTTCGTACTCCTTTTCGGTGTTCGACAACTTAATTGACAACATGCATAGTCGATGCTATTCATGCAATGGAGCTAAAAGTGGACACAAACTTATTTTTGTGATGTTTTTACGACAATTTTCTCTATAAAACTGTGATGTTTTGCTTTCTTCGAGAAGGTACTTTTCTTTCCATTTTTTGTTGAAAATCATATTTAAGTTTATGCAAATTTTTATGTCATTTTCAATAAAAAAAATGTGCATATTTTCTCCAAATATCTTGTTTCTATATTCATTCATTTTCAAAAAAGACACAGAAAACAGGTTGTACTTTAACTTTTGGAGGTCAATGCATGTCAACTAGGTTTAAGAAAGCAAGGACTTTTGTGTTTGGGAAACGTTATGAATAATATATGACAGGAATATACAACGAAAAGTAAGAGTAAGTTGATTGTAAGAGTTAACCAATTTTATAAAGAGAATAGCGGTTATATCTGCCATACATCAAAATTTTTAAATTGCGTAATTCACGATTTCTTAGCATTATCTAAATATAAAAATAATTAACTAATAAATTAACTAACAAAGGGAAGAAAACTCGGAAAGTAAGGAAGAATATATTCTCACATTGCAAAAATTGCACCCAAAATTGCTTCCAGTATCTGAACTGTATTGAATTTTAACTCAGATGACGATACTTCAACCATGATTTTTCAACATTAAAACATTTAATTGCATGGAAAAAAAATATCAGGTAGAATTACCGTATTAGAATGGCAATGAAATTCAGGTAGAAAATACCCTCAATTCTGGTAATAAAACCGAAATATACGGTATTTAAACCATTCATTTGATAATTTTTCTTTTGAATGGTAACGGTTTACTGAAAATTCTGATTTTCAAAACTATGGTTTTTATTACCACACATTTAGTAAAAAATACACAACTGAAAATTACATTTAACTGAACAAATAGTTTTTATGCCATGCTCGAGGCATCATGAAAAAATTACGAAACAACACCTAATGATAAAATATGGTAATTAAATCATATTTTACTTTTAATTTTAGAAAAATCATCATCAAAGCGCTTTGGTAAAAACTTCCGTGCTTTTGGTTGTTCTTATAGAGTCAGAAACATTTTACCACATTCTGGTAGTTTTGACCATCTTTTTTTCAGCGTGGAGTTACTTCATATCGGAATATAGTTTATTCTA